ACTATTTTTGATAATGGGATTTAATTTCCTAACTTGTGTTTTGCCTTGTATATATGTGTTTTATGGACATAAGTGTTTATGGTTACAACTATGTATATGAAAGTTTATTTCCATTCAAGTCCTCACAGCTCATTGGACGATGTATGTTATTATTGATTGGCTTCCGTCAGTCCCTTTATATTGTATTTTTGTCATTATTGTTAAACAGGCATTCGGTAATCACGGATTACTGGCTAGTTACGACGCTAAACCTATAGAGGCAGGTTTGGGTCGTGACAAAAGTAGAACAACCTCGAGTTCTTTTCATATTCCATTGCTTCTTCATTTCTATCAAAACATAATTCACATAATGTACACCATTACAATAAACATATAATGTGTAATTAAATATACATAAATCAGACACATCGTTACACTATTATTACTCACTGTGCTTTGGTCGTGTAGTAGTCCCCTCCGGCGAGTGCCCTTACATATCAAACACACAACTAATAAGCAAAGTATTCTTTTATAAATTTAGTCCTTTTTCTAATTCGTTCGCTTTCCATTCATTTTTAAGCATTTCAGAGGAATTAAATACACACATTAACATATTTAGAGGGTAAAAAAGAATAACAGAAAATGATAGAATTTTTCCCATTGGCCGCACGTGCGGAAGTCCCCCACCGCATGTGCGGCTTCGCATGTGCGGCTTCACACGTGCTTTTATTTCAGAATACCACCCTTGCTACCCCTGTTTTCCGTACGTGCGGCTGTGCCTCCCACATGTGCGGTCCTGGGCTCTGTTTGAGCAGTCCAAAAATCCATCAAAGGCAAACTTCCTAAACTCATTTCTTCAAGCAAATTTACTTCAAAACATGCTATAGGAACATATTAAACATGAAACACAAAGTCAATGAGATCAAACATCTTTTAATTTGACATACAAATTCTTAATGTTCATTATCCTTCATTTTCCTCATTTTTTCATAATATATATATATATATATATACTTACATGCTTACATGGGTTCATAACATACAAAGGCTCAAGATCATCTAACAATTTCTCACAATCTAACTCAAATCTAACTCCAAATAAAGGAATCAACTCATCAATGAAACAAATATATGGATTACATGTTCATTTTCATGAGATTTGCTCAATCACGTTCATTAACCATAAACCCTAACTTGTAAGAGTGACAAAGCTTCATTTTAGATAATTGAAGAAAGATTTAAGGTATTTTAGTTTATTTACACTTACCTTGATTTGTATTCCTTGAATCCCCTTTCAATTTCTCAAATCTTCAAGCTTCAAGTTGAGTTCTCCTTTGCTCTCTTTCTTTTCTCTCCTTCTCTAGGAGATATTTTTGGTGTGTTGTTGAGTCTAAGGGATTGTTTGGAATGTTTAAAATAAGTGTACTTTTTGAATTTTTGAACTAAAAAGTTGAGGATAAAAATATAGTTGTTTGGGATAACTTTTTAATTTTTTACAAAAAAATATGTATTAAAAAATTGTATAAATTTGAGTATAGGAGAAGATTGTGATAAAATAAGCCGTACGGTTGGAAGGCGTAAGGGACAGCGTGTGCAGAGTGTAGGATAGAAGATGATTCTCTTCTTTTCAGGCATTAAATTGAACAGTGTTGTTCAGCCCGTGGGGCCCACCACGGGTGTCGTTTTTCTAATCAGAACCGTTTAATATATATAACTCGTCGAGTACTATAAATTTGTACAAAATCACGTTGATCGGATATCGATAGCTATCTGATCGGATTAGTTTTATTTCAATTGTTAACTATAACACCATCTATTTTTTATACAAAACTGATTTGATTATATAGTTAAAGATATCCGACCAACGTGATTTTTTATAAGCATATAGTACTCGACGAGTTCTACACATTGAACGATTTAGATTATCAAAACGGGACCCGTGATGGCCCCCACGGGCCGAACAACATTGTCCTTAAGCTTGCTTCCACCTGTGTAATTTGTCCTCACCAAAGTTAGGCGAGTGAGTTGTCTCACAATTTGTACCAAAAAAAAAAAATTTATAATTTTTTTTTGTGAATAGTGATAACTTTTTAATTTTACTAGTAACTTTTTGACATTTTATCTTATTTTGAATATGCCAAACCAAGCCTAAGTAACATATAGGGCTCATATATATATATATATATATATATATTTCAAGTCATGTGTCTATTTGGCCAACCAAACATAACTTAACGAACCAGACAAAATCAATTTTCAATTAAACTGACCAAATAGCTCTAAAAATTTCCATTAACATAATCATATACTCAATTCCAATTTCTGAACTCATTAATGCCGTTAATTTCAGTTTCAAAGCGTTAACTCTAGGAGTTTCAGCCAAATAAAGCTAATTAATTCGTTACGAATCGAATTTTTACAAAACTTCATATAATGTCTTAAAAATCATGCTAACTATAACTATAAAGTCAATTTCAGTTTATCGCGCCTCTAAAGCTTTTAATTTGCAGTCCGAAGGTCGCAATTTCAATAGATTTTCTTATAACCGACAGATATAATTTTATAAACATGTAATTCGCATCTTGTCAATTCAGTTTCCAATTTCAGTCAGTCAGTTCAGTACTTTAATCAGTTCAATTATCAATCAGTTATCAGTCATCATCAGTTCCGTTTAGCGGTAATCGGTGATTATCGGTAATCAATCAGTCCCTAATCAGTAAACAGTATGAGGGTTGTTACACATATAATGAGGGAATTAAAGCATATTGAGCATTTGAGAGAGTCGGGTTAATACAGTCACATATAGGACCCTCTTACCCATAGAGAGTTAGGTCTCAAAGTAAATGATTGTTGGATTGATCACCACTAGAATTTTAATTGCCTTTCCACCACCCTCCCCAGCCATATTCAGTCCAAAATTAAGAGCACAACCCTTCTCTGGCGTGCTCAAGCTGAAGACAATTTCACTTTGACCTCCTCAAATGATGGTATTTTCACCAACCAATCGGCATACCTTCTTGCCCTCAAACCAATTTATTCCCCACCTGTCCAAAGTTGGAAATAGATTTGGCACACTCTTACTACCCCTCAGGTCCACCACTTCCTTTAGCTTGCTTTACATGCCAGACTAGCTACCAAATCTTTCTTTCTCACTCATAAGATAACTTAAGACAACCTCTGTCCCCGCTGTTAAACCCATTCTAAAACCGTCACCTATGCACTGCGCGACTATCCCTCTTCTTGGGCCTTGTGGACCCTTATGGCATCCTCGAACCCCCTCATTCTTTTCGGACACTCCCCAATGGCTCCGTGTTAATTGTGAATCCAACCTTCACCACTAATCGTGTCTTTGGGCTGTCATTTTCCCACTCACTTGTTGGACCATTTGGAAATACCGCAACGCTTTCTGTTTTGAAAACAACCTACGCCCTTTCTCAACCACACCGCCATCATTGCTAATGTCGTCCAATGGCAATTCATCTCAAATTTTCCCCAACCTCCCAAGACCAGGATTTTATCCTTTGTGAACTGGAAACCCCCCGACCATCCCAGATTCAAACTCAACATTGATGGAGCAGCTCGCGATAATCCTGGGACTGCTTCAGTAGGGGGTATCATCAGAGATTCAATTGGTACTTCGATAAGTGGATTCAGCCGCAACATTGGATACACAACTAGTGTAGCAGTAGAATTGTAGGGACTTCGAGACAGTTTATAATTGGTGAGAGACCTTAATTTGCAAAATATTGATGAAGAGACAGATGCAACCACTGTGTAACACCTGTTGAACAATCGGTCTTCAAACCATCATCCTTTTAGTAATCTAATTTTTGATTGTAAGTGGCTCCTCGACCAACTCGGAGTGCAGGAAGTAAATCATATCCTCCGTAAAGCAAGCACTTGTGCGGACTTGCTGGCCAAAGAAGGAAACAAATGAAGGCTTTCATATCTACTCTACTATGCCTAGTTTTATTCTCGAAAATGTTTGTGAGGATGCTTTGGGAACTTCTTATCTCATAATTGTATTTGACTCCTCTTAGCTTTTTATAATACCCTTTATTACCAAAAAAAAAAAAAAAAAAAAAAAAAGAAGAAGAAGAGCGTTAATGAAGATGAATACATTAGCTTTAGGTGGGTGAGAAATACATTTAGGTGGAAGAGGTGAGTGTACCATATTGTAGAGTTGTCTTTATTTGGTAAGTGGGCGTTCTATTAAAGATTATTCTTTATTGTAATTTTACTTTATAATATAATTATAATAAAAAAAAGTAAGAATTAAAAAATCTAAAGAAATTAAGTTGTCTCCCATATTTTTGGCAGAAGTTTTATATATAGTAGTTGTTTGGCATGCACTAAAAAAATATAATTTTTTTTTTATATATACATTTATTTAGGTCACATCAATTAACACCTATCAACATCTCTTCTCTACTTTTCTACCCACTTTCTCTATTTTTCTACATATTTTTTTATAAAATTCAAAAAGTACACTTATTTAAAACATCTTATAAGGTAGTGTTTGATAACGTTTATGTTTTTAGTTTATGTTTACAAAAATTTTATAAATTGGTTTTTATTTATTTTTAGAAAAATATAAACTAAAAACGCGTCTAGTTTGAACAAAATACTTGAAAAATTTTAAAAATATAAACTAAAAAATATATTTATTCAAGCTTAAAAAATTTATATTTATATTTTATTATTTATGACAATGAAATCAAACATATTATGATTGGAAAAAAAAATTAATTAAAAATAAAAAATCAATTGGAAAAAATTAAATGAAAAAAATTAATTAAAAAAGAATTACTTGAGAAAAAAATTATTAGCCAAATTTTAAAAATTAATGTAAATTTATTTTTTGAGTGTACATTTTTTCTCAAATTTATAAATTGAGATGATTATTTATAAATAAAGAAATTATTAAATAAATTTTTGTGATATTTTTTTTTTAAATTTTATAAATTTAAATTAAAAATTAAAAACGAAATGTTACCAAATAGTCGTAACTATCTTTTGTTTTTGATTTTTTTCTTCCAAGCAGCCGGCTTTAGTTTTGTTTTAGAGACGTTGTGAAGCCTCCCCCTGGTTGGTCTCTTCCTACAGACCTCGCTTCCTCAGATCCGTCTTTTTCACAAAGAGAGAAAGAGAGTTCGAGCTCGAGTAAACCAATCGCCAAAACCATGGCGATTAGGGTTTTTCTTCCTCTTCTTCTTCTCTTTTTATCGTCTTCTCACCTTGCCTTTTCCCTCTACGAAGATCAAGTCGGACTCATGGACTGGTTACTCTTCATCTCTATCTCCTCACACACACGCACACATCTTTATACTTTACTAAATTCGATTGATGATAGTTCAATCGATCACTATTCTATTCCATTCAATCAAAAGCCTATAGCTTTTGTTTTAAATTGATTTCAATGCAGGCATCAACAGTACATAGGTAAAGTAAAGCACGCAGTGTTCCACACTCAGAAGGCGGGACGAAAGCGCGTAGTGGTCTCTACCGAAGAGAATGTCATCGCCTCGCTCGATCTCCGCCGCGGCGAGATTTGTATGTACATGTTTTTGTTAGAATTCGAAAGTTTAATTGGGTTGCATAGGTTGAGTGGTCAAAACTTATGATTTTGATTCAGAAATTAGTTTTGATTTTGTGTTTGGTTTCTTGCAGTTTGGAGACATGTTCTTGGGGCCGACGATGCCATCGATGAAATCGATATCGCACTTGGAAAATGTAAATATTTTTTACAATATATTTTTTTTGGTTATAATTGAATTATTTTATTTGCAATTTGAATTTTACATAGTTAGATACAGGGCTGTATAACTATTTAACAATATTCCATCTTTTGACATCCTTCTAGATGATAACTTTTTTTTTTCCCCCATCAAAAGTTGTGAAATTACGTGTATTTTTATCAGTACTTAAATGGATGCTGAAACAATAAAATTTATGAAAATCTAAGTGGACATTTTGACAAAGAGTTAGTCTATATCTAACTTTTTTTTATTTTTCTTCAAAAGTTGTGAAATTAGTTGTATTTTTATCAGTACTTAAATATATGCTGAAACAATAAAATTTATGAAAATCTAAGTGGACATTTTGACAAAGAGTTAGTCTATATCTATGTTGCACGGACAAGGGTGCGGGGGTGTATCCAAGTGTCAAATATTCATAAACTTAAATCTTAGGATCTTGGATATGGGTACGGGGATATGTCACATAAACACATATTGCATATTGTATAATATTCTAAGATGAAATATTATAAATTATGTGGAAATATACCAGAAATTGAATAGGGTTCAAGAAAAATATGAAATTTCTATCTCTAATTCACGTGAGAGACTAAAAGTATTGCTTCACTAACAAAGGTGAGTTTCTTCTTTTTCATATATTGTAACAAATTAAAAGTTGCAAGTGACTAAATTGGGTACGGGTGTTGGACACATATCCCACACCCTTACCCTTGTCATATTCGGTGAACTCGGTACTTTGGAGAAAATAGAAGAGACCACGTAACACAAGTCTATATACACAGAATTAAACGCATAAAAATATCAAGAATGGACGTGTCAACACAATAGGGTCCACCTGAGGCATTCTCATTATTTTCACCAAAGGTGGGCTCATTGTGTTGATGTGTACCTTTTATTTTCACTAGAGGTGGACCCATTGTGTTGATCTTTATATTTTTAGTACTTTTCTCTGGCTTAATTTTGTGTATGTAGATTAAATTTTAATTGTATGTCTAGTATTTTGGAAGGAAGTAGTTAAAAAAATACACCCATTAGAAAGACACCTATTATTAGATTTTGGAAATAAACAGCCAGACATTCCGAAAATCCAACCTGAGATGATTTTCTATTAGTTCTCTTGATTTTGTTGGCCTTACAGTGGCTATTGTATACATCTCTAACACTGGTTAATATGAGGGCGTGGTATAAAAAGAAAAGATGGTTTTGTTGACCTTACAGTGGCAATTGTGTACATCTCTGATACCGGTTAATATATATAATGAGAAGCAGTTATTGACTGTGGACACTGTTATCTCTAGTGGTATGATCGTTCACTTATTGCATCTGTAAGAATCTTGATGAAATTTTTTGAAATTTGTTGTTCCCTTACTGACCCTGGAAGTGTTTGATTGCTGATCTATGAAAGTTCCACAGCAGTAATGTGTGTGCTAATCATTCAGTATTAAGTATCAAGAAACAATTGCTTGTTAGTAATGTTTTCCTGAATAATGCTTTGGCCTGACATTTTCCAAAAAAGGTTACTCAGTTGCTGCTAGTAAATAAGATTTTGTTGGTGTGTATGTATGTTCATCTTTAATTTTAATTAAATGCAAGTGAATTGTTCATTTTTTCCCAGATGTCATAACCTTATCATCAGGGGGAAGTATTCTAAGAGCTTGGAACCTTCCTGATGGGCAGATGGTGTGGGAATCTTTCCTTTCAGGCTCAAAGCCATCAAAGTCATTGTTATTTATTCCGGTTAGTGAAAAGCATTTTATGTTAAATGAAAACTTTTGATCCATGTTATTAACTTTATACATTTCTCTCTCTCTCTCTCTCTCTCTCAACACTTTATCTTGTTCGTGGTCTGCATAAGAGATTTGTTCCAAGCTTGTTTCTTCAATGTAATGCATTTTTCTAAATTTGTTGGAAATAGCGCTAATTATGGAGTTATGCGCAGACAAATTTGAAAGTTGACAAGGACAATGTGATCCTTGTTTATGGGAATGGGTGTCTTCATGCCATTTCAAGCATAGATGGCGAGGTTCTCTGGAAGAAGGACTTGACTGCTGAAGGGTTTGACAAATTCACAAGTTACTGCGTCTATTTTGTTATTTAGTCTTAACGATGCTTGTCATTGATGTATTGAATGTTTATTGTTTGCAGCATTGATGTTCAGCAGTTGATTCATCCACTCGGAAGTGACATAATATATGCTGTAGGTTTTAGTGGGCTGTCCCAATTTGATGCATGTCAAATCAATGCTAAGAATGGCGAGTTGCTGAAGCATGAAAGTGCAACACTTCCTAGTGGTTTCTCTGGGGAAATATTGTCAGTTTCAAGTGACACATTTGTAGCATCTGATGCTACTCAATCAGTTTTGGTATTAATAAATGTCAGGGATAGTGGAATTAGCTTTCAACAGACCTTTATTTCAGATCTTGTGCAGGACTTTTCTGGAACAGCTGTAGTATTACCTTCGAAGCTTACAGGGATATTATCCATAAAAACCAATGCATTTATAGTATTTATTAAAGTCACAGATGAAGGCACGTTGGAGGTAGTGGACAAAATAGATCATGGAGCAACTGTTAGTGATGCTCTCTCATTTTTAGAGGATCAACAAGCTTTTGCATTAATTCAGCATGGGGATAATAAGATTCAACTCACAGTGAAGCAAGGTCACGACTGGAGTAATGATTTACTTAAGGAGGACATTGAGATGGATCAACAGAGAGGGCTTGTGCATAAGGTCTTCATAAACAACTATATCCGAACAGACAGGTCTTATGGGTTTAGGGCCTTGATTGTCATGGAAGATCATTCATTATTGCTAGTACAACAAGGTGAAATTGTATGGAGTAGGGAGGATGGGCTTGCTTCAGTAATAGATGTAACAACATCAGAACTACCTGTAGAAAAGCATGGTGTATCTGTGGCAAAAGTGGAGCAGAATCTTTTTGAATGGCTTAAGGTAATGAACTTGTAGAAACTTCTTTGAAAGCTAGTTAACATTGAATTTCAGACTCTTGAAGGCATTACCATTAGACAATTTATGATGGTACTTTAACATCCTATGATTTGAGTTTTAATTGATGCATAACAGGGGCGTTTGGGGCGGCTTTTAAAACAGATTATAGCTTATAACTTAATAGATTATAGATTTAATCAGAAGCTGTTAATCTGTTTGGTATAACTGTTAGATTATAGATTTAAATTGCTGAGTAATGTTTGTTTAATAAGTTGTAAAATAGCTTTTTGCTATGTAATGTCTTTTTTGCCCTTATTAGATATAGAAATTGTTAATTTATTTCATTTTCTTTATTTATTTATTTTTTATAACATACCAATTAATATAAAAATTGTGATTTATTTTTTCATTACAATAACATGCACAATATCAATTAATTAAAAATTTTAATTTTTTTTTCATTACAATACAAATTAATAATATAAAAATTGTTAATTTTTTTAATTTATTAATTCATTACAATTAATACCAATTAATATTGTTATTTTTTTAATTTATTATTAATTCATTACAATTAAAACCAAGTAATGATATAAAAATTGTTTAGTTTTTTAATTTATTAATTCATTACAATAATACTAAACCCTAGCCCCCGCCGGCCACCCCCTTCTTCTCCTCCTCCTCCTCCTCATCCCTCTGCAAAATCGGAGAGAACACAGAGAGAGCTAGGGTTGATCGCGAAGAGAGAGAGAGAGAGAGAGCGCTAGGGTTGATCGCGATTGCGACACCGGAGAGAACACAGAAGGTTGATCGTCACATCGTCGATCGTCACGCTAGGGTTTTGCATCGGGATGGTTAGGGTTTCGTTTCGCGATGTTAGGGTTTCAGATCGCTAGGGTATCATAGCACGACCAGAGAGGCGATGTGGTTTATATAATGGCAATTTGGTAATACTTCAAATTGGTGAAGGGCATTTAAGTAATTTTGACCCTCTTCCGCTTTAGCTGAGAATCTGAAGCACCCTGGGAGCAGATTCTGAAATTCAACTTATTTGCCCTCTGCATAAGCTGATAGAAGTTTAAGTTGGTGGCATTAATCTCTAACAAACAGTTGGCTTTTGCTTTTTTTAAGTTAAAAGCTATAAGTTGGGTTAAATAATCTGGAACAAACACCCCCAACTTCAGGTGTAAAACGTTTTATCTTTGCTCTTTTGTGTTTGTGTTTGTGTTTTGGAGTGATTTGTCATTGAAAAATATAGTTTACTACTTATGCATATACTTTCTTGGGCTAAAGTCAATGATAATGAAGATAGGGATATTGTAGTCGCAGTGGTGGTGGAATAATGAGGTACAAGTTGTAGGAAAAATAAAAAGAAACGCTTTAAAAAGTGGCTAAAGAATAAAAATAAGCACAATTTTAAGAGATATAAGTTGGCTAATAAAGAGTGAGTAAAAGGACAATTAGGGATGCTAAGTTAAAAGCTTATGGTGTGGTTTGGGGGCTAAGGGTCAGTTCACAGTCTATTCATTCTATAGGGGTTTGGTCGGGGAGTGTGGCAGGATGTTTCCTTGGGAGAGTGTTTGGGTGCCCGGCGTCCTGTCTAAGGTGGCTTTCTTTATGTGGACAGCTGCTGTGGAGCGGAATCTTACCTTGGATAATTTGATCAGGCATGGGCATGTGTTAGTGAATTGGTGTTATATATGTTGTGCAGCTGCGGAGTTTGTGAATCATTTGTTTTTGCATTGCCCGGTGGCTTCGCGATTGTGGGGTTTTATTTTGTCACTCTTTGGGGTTGTTTGGGTTCAACCTCGAGGGGTGTTGGATATGTTTTGGGCTTGGCGGGGTGCTCGGATTGGATGTTGACGGAGGCGGGTGTGGGTGTTGGTGCTGTTTTGCTTGATGTGGCTTGTATGGTTGGAGCGCAATAGACGCACTTTTCATGAGGTTTATTATGGTGTTCTTTGGTTACATAATCGACTTATTGTAGTTATGTATAGTAGGTTGGAGAAAACAGTTGATCCTGATTTGTTTGCTTTTCTAGATTTTCTAGATGATATAATTGGGTAGTGCTCGGTTTCAAATCTCCCTTTTGGGATTCCATTTTGTATTTGTTGCATCATCTTGATGCTTTTCTAATAAATTGCTTTATTTATCAAAAAAAGAAAAGAAAAAAGAAGCTTATGACGGTCTTTATTCTAGATTAGATGGAAGGATGGAGTAAAAAACATTTACAAACTTTCTAAATTGAGAGAAAAATAGGTAAATTTTTAAAATTGGGCTCAGTGTATTAGAAGTGAGGATTCGATGATGTTAATGAAGAATGAGGAGATTAAGGAAAGGTGAAAAAGTTATTTTGAGAAATTGTTAAGTGGAAAATGATTAGAAAGCTTAGGATGAGAGGGTTAGCTAAAGTATTAAGACCAGATTGTAGATCTATTGAGGCATGGAAATATTTAGCTAAAGAGGGGGTGTTTTGGTTAACAAGATTATTTAATAAGATTTAATGATTAGGAAAATGTTTGACAAGTTGAGAAAAAGTATTTTAGTACCTATATAAAAAAAATAAAAAGATATCCAAAATTGCCCAACTATATAGGCATTAAGTTGGTGAGTCATACAATGAAATTGTGGGAGAGAGGGATTCAACCTATCTTCATGGATACTCTAAAAAAGGTCACGTACGCGTATCGGATACTTTTCGGATATGGATATGCGTTCGATACGGCCGGATACGTAGCGGATACAACTGACGAGTATTCGAAAATTATTTATTATTTTTTCAATTTTGGATATGTCTCGAACACGGGAAATATACGTCTCGGATATGGGATGGATATGTTCAAGATACGGGAAGGATACATTCTGGATACGACAAGGGCCAAAAACATAATTTTCTTATAGATTTTAGTAGGGGTCAAATTGGAAAATTGTAAAGTTTAATGCAAGTAAAAAATACCAAGCACTTATGGAATGATTACAAGAAGGAAAATTGAAGGAACCTTAGCCTCTATAAAGATACAAATAAATAAATAAATAAATAAAAAACTAAAATGAAAAAGCACCATTGATCTCCAAAGGTTGATCCTGTCTCTCTCTCTTTTTTTTTTTTTTCCCTTTCTTTCTTTCTTTCTTTCTTTCTTCACAAAAATACCTCTATGCCACTCTCTCATAAAGAGCAACAAGCAAAAATTGAGATTAATATTCTAAATTAATATAATTTTTTTTATTAGTTTGCTTTAGGAATTGGTATTTTCTAAATCAACGTTTGATATTAACTAAATGAATGAACTCATGTTTTTTATTTTATTTTATGCATACTATATTATTAAAAATTACAAAAATATGTTTTTTACAAACGTATTTCTACCGTACCCGTATCCTACTATTTTAGATTTTGTCATATCGCTGTATCCGTATTCGTATTGTATCTGATCTGTGCTTCCTTGGATTCAACACCACTTGTTTTGTAAGAGTTACAAAAATGCATCCTTAGATTTTGTACGAGTTACAACTTACAAAAGTGAAAAAATTAGCTTGGATTTATGCTCGGTAGATCAAATATAATAGTGATATATCTACTAAAATTACTAGAGAAGTACATAAAGAAGAGAAGAGATGCATGTGGTTTTTACCTATGTTATATAGACGCGGATACGAGTATTGGGTGCGAATGCGTGTCCAAGTGTCACATCTTTCTAAACCTAAATCTTAGGGTATTAAGATATGCATTCAAAAGTTGAATATGGATACTAGGACACGTCATAAACACATATATTGTTTATATGGTATAATATTTTTAGATAAGATGTTGTAAATTTTTTAGAAATGTACTTTAATTAAATGAAATTTAAGAAAACTATGAAATTTATGCCTACCATTCATTTGAAATTTATGTCTCCCATTCATTAGAGGATCCAAATGTCTAAATTGGGTATATGTGTCAAACACATATCTCACATCTGTACCCTGTCATGCTTGGTGGACATAGGTACATTGGGCGAAATGAAAGAGTATATGTTACACAAGTTTCTATAGATTTATAAAAACTTTCGATGGGATGCTTAGAGATATAATATGGGTGATAGAGAAAAAGTGTGTGACCGAAGGATTTATTGATGTGATAAAGAACATGTATGATGAAGTTGTGACTAAAATTAGATTACCTATAGGTGAGACTAGTGAACTGTATCAAGAGTTAACTTTGAGTTTTTACCTATTTGCCTTCTTAGTCATGGATGCATTGATTAAATACATTTACGATGATATCCTATGGTACTTGTTGTTTGCAAATGAATCATTTAAGTGGACAAAAAACTAAGGGATGAATTGACACTAATATAGAAATTTGCATAGAAGCACTTGAGTAAAAAATATTTGAAGTTAGTAGAACTAACTTTAGTAGCAATAGAAGTAGAAATAATGGCAAAGTGATGATTGAAAATCAGGAGATAACAAAGAGTGAACATTTTCATTACTCAAGTTTGATTACTAGCAAGGATGGATAGGTTGGAGATACATATCCACTGAATCAAAGTAGGTTGACTCTAGTGCACAAGTGCTTCTGGCATATTATGTGATCTACTAATACCAACAACATTGTAAGAAACATTTTATAGAACTATAGCCTATAATTCCAATGATGCTTTATGAGGCATAATGTTGGTCAATTAAGAAACAACCTTCACAAAATGAGTGTAGTTGAGAATCGAGATGAGGATGCTTAGATGTATATTCTGTGAGACTAGGAAATACATAATAGAAATGGAAATATTCATGAAATGGTAGGAGTAGCATGAACTGAAGATGAGTTGACTGAGAACAAATTATTATTAGGACAAGTCTTTTTATTTGTTGCACTGGTGAGGTTCTGGAATCCCATGTATTTGGAGTCATGATTCTTATGTAATAGGGTAATTTAGATTAAATAGTAATGCATGTATGAATTGTGTTAAATATAGAGAGTCATAAAAGGTTCATGATTGTGCTATTATTCTACAGCTTCTTGAAGTTTTGTGCATGGCATATGGTCTATGTTGTAAACTACACTAATCAATGTTTGCACACAAAATAATATAAAACAAAATAAACATTGTATATACCAGAATACCAGGAGTTTCAGTATCCTACATGTGTCCAAATTTGTGTCTAACATGGGTGTTTCCCTTATTTAGAGTTAGAGGTTGATGCAGTATACTTCTTTACCAATTCTAGTTAAGTGATATTTGATTTCATATCTTGGCATTTACAAGGTTTGCTGAAATTCTGAATGCTAAGAGTGGTCCTGGAATTGAGAACCTTGCCCACCTGATCAAAAGTAAAAAAGAATTAGTAATTTTTTACTGTGCTTTAATCTCCTAGTCTTTTGTTATTGCCTGGATGCATATTTTTGGAAAGGTTACCTGTAGTAGTTTTAGGACATTTTACTCTTATATTTGTGAAGAATCAGGTACCTTCAATGGCAGGACAGAAGAACCACTGTGATGAAGAATGGTTTCTTGTTCTTCTCCTTTCTCTCTCTGTGTATTTCTTTCTTTTTCTCTTTTTCCATCTTTCTTTCAATTAGATGTTATCTTTTGTACTATATTCCTTACTTCCACATGTGGATGCAACTCATTGACTGATTTATTCCCATGGGTTTTTGATATGTTCTGGTGTTGGTAGGGACACGTGCTGAAGCTTAAAGGAACTCTAATGCTCGCAAGCCCTGATGAAATAGCAGAGATACAAAAAATTAGGTTGAAAAGCTCTGAAAAAAGCAAGATGACCCGAGACCACAATGGTTTTCGAAAGCTGCTCATAGTACTTACTAGAGCGGGGAAACTTTTTGCTTTACACACAGGAGATGGACGAGTTGTCTGGTCTCGCTTATTGCATTCTCTTCGTAAATCTGAAGGATGTGACTATCCCAACGGGCTTAACATATATCAGTGGCAGATCCCACATCATCATGCGTTGGATGAGAATCCATCTGTTCTTGTAGTTGGCAGATGTGGATGTAGTTTGGATGCCCCTGGTGTCCTTTCAATTGTTGATGCATACACAGGGAAGGAGCTTAATCGTTTAGGTGCTGTTCATTCCGTCGTGCAAGTTATTCCACTGCCTTTTACTGATTCAACAGAACAGCGCCTTCATCTACTAATAGATGCTGACCAGCATGCCCATTTATACCCCAGAACTCATGAGGCACTTGGTATCTTCCAGCGTGAGTTTGCGAACATATACTGGTACTCAGTTGAAGCTGATAATGGCATTATAAGGGGTCATGTCTTGAAGGACAATTGTATTCTTGAGGTAGCAGATGAATACTGTTTTAGCACAAGAGATTTATGGTCCATTGTATTGCCATCTGAGTCAGAAAAGATTGTTGCAACTGTGACAAGAAAATCAAATGAGGTATCTTCCTTTTGCTTTCTCAGATATCCTAAGTTTTCAATCTGAACTTTTATTTTGTGGTTGTTGATAGTTTTATTTATTTATTTTTCCCTTGTATGCCTACTGCAATCAATTTTTGAAATGGTATGGACTTCTCACTTTGTAGTTACACTTCCAGCTGAGTTTAAGGCTGTGTTTGGGAATAGCGTTCTTGGCTAAAATCTCCAATAAAGACCAAAAAAAAAAACACGAAAAATTCATTTTTCTGAAAAGTGAATCTTGAAAATTCAAACTAAACAAGCAAATTGATTTTTCTAAAAAGGAAAATTTATCCATAGATTTCATATAGGGAAATGTTTATCTATTTAGTTTTAAGAGTTTTTTTTATGAACCAATTAGTTATTTTTGTTTTGAAAAGTTGTATTTATTTGATTTAATACCATTTGAGTTTAAGTGAATATCTTTTTGTTTTTCATTTTTCTAATTTTCTTATTTATTTTGGGGATGGGAATGAAAAAGTGAAGTGTGGAAGATTTTTTTTTTGGAGGAATTAGTGGCTGATGTGTTGGTTATTGAATATTGAAATCTACATTTCTATTAGTGTAGTTTTCTTATGTTACATTAGAGTGTTACGTTTGAAAAAAATATATTAAGAAATTTTTGTATATTACATTGATTGGAGTGTTATGTTTAGGAAAAATACGATAAGGAGTTTTTTTGAAATGTTACGTTGTTACGTTTACATTAAGAAGTTTTTTAGTGTGTTACATTGGAGTGTTACGTTTT